CGGCGCGGGGCCCTGCGCCCTCCGCCCGCCCCCAGCCCCGGCGGGCCCGGCACCCCGCGCTCACCTTCCCCCGCCGGGCCGGGGCCAGAGCCGGGGCCGGGCTGCACCACACGGCGGGGCTTCGGCACCGCAGAGGAAACTCCGACCCGGGGAGAGCGGAGAGCAGCGGCGCGGGGGCCGCGCCGGTCCGTGAGTGGGGTTTGGAGCGGCCTGGCGCGTGTGCTCTGCCCCCTCTCGGCTGCTCCCGAGCGCCGCTGTCTGCACCGCTCCTTACGCGTCCRGAGAGAGCGAGCTGCGGGCAGCGAGACTTCAGGCAAGGAAAAAGAAAATAATGGCTGGCAGAAATACAGGGGGAGGGGGGCAGCCACCACAGCACACCAGAGAAGAGGCTTGATTTTATTTCCTCTTGCTGGTGTTACTCATCTCGCTCTGGCTTGGACCACTAACTCTCCAACGTACTTCCCCTCTCCCTCCGAAGAGAGCTGTATTCAGAGAAAGGCAAAAACTCATAAACATGATTTATGTTAAAATTTTCTTCTGTCTAGAATTAGGGCAAATACTTCTGGAAGAGAAGACAACTGATGGAGTTGCTGGGCGCTGCCTGGAGGGAGGCTGCAGGAGTGAGGGCCAGGGAGTGTAGCTGTGGAGGTTCAGCCGGGGAGGTTCCACGGCGCATCATTGAAACCTCCTCCCTCCCCAGGTGGGCACAAACCCTCCCTCCTTACAGTGCCCGGGCTCAGCTACATAAAGCCCTGGCTAAATTGCTGTTTCTGTGCCTTTCTAATCAAAACCAACGGTTCTTTGGCTTTGCCACCATAAAAATGTTTAACTTGTTGCCAGGTTTCAGGTTTGCACATCCCTTACAAAAGGCAGAATTAGATGGAAAAATTTAAAAAGAAAACTGCCAAAACAAAAAATGCTTACGTAAAAAYGAGATTAAATTCTAAATTCTTTCTTCCTTTAAATTAGAAATTAATAGATTGATGGGGGGGAATCAAGTAAATTACTTTCTCACTTTCTTTAGTATGAAAAAGATAACATTAAAATTTTTATCTCAAAGTAATCAGAAGTTTATTGTTCATTAATAAAAGATTTCCAAGTTTAATCCACAATCTATCTAATTTATTTGGTAAAAATCTGTTTTCTTGATTGGCTTAAACAAAACAAACCAAGAATTTTTAAATCTATGCRAAATCCAGGTAGAAGCATCAGAACTGGAATCATCTTCCTACCTGTTTTGCAAGATTGCACTAACAAAATTCCTCAGGCTTAGAAGCAAAACTAGATTTTTTTTGAAGGGAAAGATCTATGTCTTTTTGCTACACAACTAAGTTTTAATGATAGGCATGAGAGTTATAACATTATTCATAGCAAATGTAACTTTAAAATACAACGGATAAATCAGGATCAGAATGAGTCCACACTTCATATTTCCTCCAGTATGTTATTCCATGAGAATTCTTTTTCATTATCATTGATACCAAGAGATGGATCAGTACTGAGCAAAAAAGAAAAAAATGTAGCCTGACAGGATTCCCAARCATGGTGTAGGAACACTCTAAAAGCACAGAGTCCAGGTGAATTTTGGTAGTAAGCTTGCATATTGTAGATAATTTACACACCAAATACATGTTACGACACCTAGTGGCAGAGCTGTATTGTATCTAAATGATTTTGCAAGCTTTTATTCATAGTAACAGAWCACTAAGATGGTATTTACAACTTGTTTAAAAACACGTTGGGAACTCAGCATTTGCTATGGAAGTTTTATACGTACCCTGKATTCAGCAGTGCTAGCTTGTTAATCCTCCCCTTCTCATTGCTCCATTGTTTTGTTTTATGTTTCTGAGATTCCTTACCCCTTAATTTAAGAACTGAGGACAGAAATACACAGTATAGTACAATTTCTTATGTAGTCTTCTGATATAATGTAGCAATGGATAATAATGGAAGTACTTTTCATTGGGCTACTACAGATTTTTGCACGAGTAGAAGTTCATTCACATGCTGAATCATGATGATGCTGTCCATAGAAGTTTGTGGAGTTCTTTCGTTTTTCCCTTGTTTTTTTTTGTTTTTTTGTTTTCCTTTGTAATTTAATGTCATGTCATTTTTGCTTTACTTACTATTAGTAKTTTGAAGAAGAACCCTACAGCACAGCACATACACAGCATCCCAATGTACCCAGAGAAAAATGCATCCAAATAATGTCAGCATCATGTTACAAGGGAGGTTTTGTGAACTTTCTGAAATAGACAGAATTATAGAATTCTATAATATAAACAAGCCTCTAAAATCTCCAAGCTTTGCTATTATTTCAATACCTAACATTTTTATAATATTRCTAGTAGAAGACAGCTAAAAGCTTAGTTTAAAAATGTATCTTGAGATACATTTATCAACTAAAAAGTCTTGTATCTTGACATACATTTTGTGGTGCAAATGGAATGTAGTTGAAAGAAAACAGAATAAAAAAGAGCAGATTTCATCCCAAAACTTACCATTTATAGGCAAATATTTTATGAAACAAGGATTAATATATGTTGTAATAATTTTAAGTTCGTGGGTGTATTTTGCTTTTTTAATGTTTCCTATAGGATTGGAGCTTTATATATCAGAACAACTAAACTGCATTAGTAGTCACTTCTTTAGATTTACTGCACTTTTATGTTTGAGAGTTTTTTCCCTGCTGCTGCTGCTGCTGAGATACAGGATAAAGGCTAGTTAGCACACCTCCAGTCAATGCAGCTTAATACAACATAMAACTTCTCAGGTTTCGAAAACAAGATGCATAGTTTGTGTATACTCTTTCCCTCCACTCCCTTATTAAACAACAGGAGTGTCATGACTTGCCCAACAATCTAGTTTCAGTATGCAAGCTGTTAACAGGAGTGATTAATTCAGAATGCAGTTTGAAAATAACAAAAGGCCACATCAATGCCTAAATGCAAATATCTAAGTGGGGAAAAGGATAGTCATTCTATGTGGTCTGTACACACAAGTGCAGGACACTTAAAGCTATTTGGCCTTGTCATTTTTAACCTCAGATTCAGAAAAAAATAAACCATCACTTTCACACTCACTTGCAAAAAATAAAAATATTTTAATTTTTACTAATATATATTTTTATTAGAATTGTAATTTTCAAAGAAAACTGAAAGAATTTGGATGGTAATTTGATACTAAAGTTGAAAGCATAATGAAGTTCATAGAGTGCTCATAAAATACTGATAAGAAGCAAATGATGCATTATTTACATTAGTCAGTCATTCAGCTGAATAAAAGCCTCGAATAGCTTAGTACCAGAAGAACAGGTCACTTAATTTTCTTAATAATACTCTTCCAATCATTAAAAGCAAAACACAGGAGCTTGGGATTATAGTTGATTAAAATACAGTATTATTAATGAACTAAAGTCTAGTCAGACCACTGCTCTCCCCAATTACAGGTGCAGAACTGTGACTAYAAAAGTAGATTTTTTTACTACAATGCATGACATACAAATGACTAAATCAATTTCTCACTAGGTGGTACATGGAATGAGAGGCATGAAAAAACCAAGACAAAACAAACTACATGTAAATACTGTGAAGAGTTTTCTCAGGTAATTGAAAACATTTACTCTTTATGCTCCAGTGAGGTCTCACAAGCATGAATTTTAACAACTCATACTAACACACTATCTTTGATGATTCATGTCTAGAATGTGAGTTCCCTAAACCACACGAATCACCCAATCACTTCAAGAATCTAAATTATGTGAACTAGAACTTGCACTTGTCAGCATATGTTGAATTTTTCCATCACTGTTGGTGTAAGGACATTGAGAAAACTCTAGGTTCCTCATCTCCTTTAACAAGTATCRTTTTTAAAACACAAAGTGAATCCGACCAGAATGATGTGCTGATTTTGCAGTTACCAGCTTGCACCTAGGTCTCCTTTCATTAAGGTATGAACACTGTTTCTTTATCAGTTGACCCACTGGCCCAAATTCAGATTGCTTGGCAGGTAGCATTGAATTTCCCAGTAATTACTTGCTGCCATGGCTTTCATACATCAGTGCTGGGAATAGTAAAGCCATGTTAARTAAGTGCTTTACCCTTCTAATAATGCTAGTGAAACTTTAAAATTATATTGGTTAATTACTTTATAGTAAATATTAGGAGTTGTACTGCACATTCAGAAAGCTTCACATCACTCATTATCATAGTTGTGTATCCAAAACTGCACAAAAGTTAGCCCTAAGTCTCTAGTTTTAATTTGCACATTTAATTTGTGACTGTTATTTCCATAATTTTCTGTTTATTGGTACACTAAGTACAGTAAAAAATTCTGTAGTCATCCCACCTTCTTACAACTACAGAAAATGTGATATTGCATATTTATACCTATTAGTTAATATGTATATTAACTGCATAAACTTTGTGTATGTATATGCACAGATACTTAATATAAATTCATCACCCATTATGAATATTGGAAACTTCTCATATATCCTATGTGTTTTTCAGATATATAAAAAAAAAAAAAAAAAAAAAAAAAAACCCAAAAAAAAAAACAACCCAAAAACACAAAAAAAAAAAAAAAAAAAAACCAAATAAAAGACAAGATTTTAATTACTTCTATAAAGCACAGAGCATAGAATGGCAGAAGAGAACCAAGGTCATTCAAGTCAGCCAGGGTTTCACATCTCATGGCTACAGCAATGAAGACAAATGTAACTACAGTTTGATAAATCAGCAAGAATAATATCAGAACTGAAGATCATGGTATATTGGCTTTCCATTAAAAAGCACAGAGACACTTAGAAAGGGCCTATTTCTACATCAGTAGGCATTGCTATCTGATTACACTGGCTTTGCACAGGAGAGAAGTTTGGGAAAGACAAAGCATAATTACAGGGCAAGGAAACAACAGATTCTGTAAGATTAAATTCCTGTTTACAAGCCTGGGGTTTTTGAGGGTTTTTCTTTACTGATAGCATTCTGACTACATAAAAAGGCCTTCAAACAAGCCCAAACATGATGCTATTTCCATTGACAGTGTTGTACAAGAGGATCACGCCCATCTTGAAATGGTTTGGACTCTCATTAGTGCCTCTCAGTGCAGGCACAGGTTACAGCAGCACTTCAAACATAATCAAAGTGACACCCATAATGCGACCAGTTTGTACATCAGCATACGTACRTTTATTTGCACCATCATGCTGCTGAGAGACTGTACCTAATCAGACCTATTGCCACCCTTACRAGTAGCATACTGTAACAGACTAGATCCCAGAGAAAGCAGGCTTTAGGCCTTTACATCTTTACATCAAGGCCAGTGTTTGACATGAAAACTAAGTATTTCACTAAGCACATTCTTATACTGACATTAAATTTACCTGATACAGATAAAAAGATGAAAGGACACAWGTAGTCCAATGAGAATTTAATCAGTAGAAAGATGCTTTCCATTCTGCTTAGTTCATTTGCTTCCCATCCATCTCTATTAAGTTACACTGCTAAATACTATTTTATTGCAGGACAGTGGAACAATTCTGCAACAAGTTGAAAAGGGCCTGCATTTCCATTTTGTAGAAGTAMAAGAATTATTAAGGAAACTAGGCGAGATTATAAATTCATACAGTAATTAAACCTGTAATAAATAAGCAATTTCTTAAATTATTATTCTCTTGGAACARGAACTACCTTAGACTTATATGAAGCCAACTGCAAGAGCAGAAAAGAGAAATTGTCTGTACCCTGTATTCATACAGAAAAAAGGATTCCCCCTCTCCCAGCCCCAGGAAAAAAAAAAAAACTGTTCAGAAATTACCAGTACTGCAAGCATGACTCAGTRCACAACATAAAGGGTTTATCATGGTCAACAGGAATGGTAATAAAGCCTTGCCTACATATGCTTCTAAGTATAGAATCTCATGAATGGCAACACTAAAAGCAAGGGCAACTGGCAGCATTGTCACTCAAATGATGTTTATTTTTAGAGGATTACCATGCCTCCAATCTGCTGTTAGGACTATCTCCTGCCAGCACACACAAGCTTCATTCTCAGTTGCACCCAATTTTTTAAGTGACAGCTCTTAGAGCAACAAGATTCCTGATACTTCTAGGGACTGTAACAACACACAGCTTTAAAACARGTGGARTGTACTTGAGTAAGCAGCAGGTATRGCATCAGCTGAAAATACAGAATCAATGCATGTAACACCTACATCAAATACAACTGAAGTCCTCCGTTTCACCCTCAAAGTATCCATTTCCAAGAGAGCTTACCGTGCAAGAAGTTTGCTGTATATTATACGTTATAGCAACAARTACTGTAACTTTCTCAGAGGACAGCAATGAACAAATAGTATAACAATGAATTCTGAGAGCGAGATAAATCATATCAGTATTAGATGAATTTGATTAAAGTTGTTTGGCATCACATCATTTCACAATCCTGACAAAAAATTAGGACCCCGCCTCTTAGTAAAGGTTTTTCGGGTCTGATGACCAAATTACAAACTACTGGCTTGTAATGAAGCACAAATATTGTCAGGCACATAAAAATAGCTGGAATTTTATTGCTATATGAAGGTATAATACAGTGGAAAGTAAGGTTTGCAGCAGTTCTAACTTGATAWTTTTTTTTAATGAGCAGTCAGTGTAGTGTTCTCCCATTAATGATAAAATTCCCACCTTATCCTGCACCATCACCAAATCATCAGTTCACCAYTGTGTGCTAGCTATGCCAGGACAATGAGAGTTTGGGAGTACAGAAACTCTAGTATATTTTGAGAATTGACACAAATGGGCTAACTGGATATTTTACTAAAATGTTCCTATATAACACATCATTGAGCCAGACATTTCCTACCCACCCAATAATTTACCAAAAGCATTAGTTTTATGATGGTTGAATGTTGGTGAATTTGACAAATTAAGCAAGAGTAAACCCCCACATAATTTGAGAAGTTTAGTGTTCGYTCAATGAGAGAATAGGATCAATTTATTTCCTGGAACAATAAATAAAAAGGCAAGGTCTATGGCAGATCTGTATATCTCTGTATTTCTCTGGAAGTTTAAACAGAGCTCACATGCCTTCATAGAAGTTTGAAAATGTTTTGATTCTTCAAAGGCATATTAAGACAAAGCATAAACAAATTACAAGACACTGCATCTTTACAGATTGATTTGAAAACCCTGGGGCAGTTTTATCTGTTCCCTTGTTACACTTAAGGTTCACTATGGAACCCAGTGTATTACTGATTTATATATACATTGGATAAAAGAAAAGCAAAGTCAACAGAAAAAAATACCTTAGATTTAAAAAATTGAAATTTGAAAGGAGCATTTTGCAAGTATTTTTAGGTTTTAACTTCCAGACAAAAGCTATCGATTCTCACTTCCTTTTTTCCACATTATTTTTAATGCAGTATCTTTGCTTTAAAAAAKATCATAAAGAATGAAAATGTTGATGGTAGCTGACTCTTTTAATTGAAAAGCTGCAATTAATAAGGTGTTTGATACTGTATAAAATAAGATAAAACATATAAAGACTGATAGACACTAAAATCAACTCAATTTATGCATGGCCTAAGCAAGATTAGTACCCAACTTCAGTATGTACCCACACATATAACTGCTATTGAGACCAAACCCAAGAMATAAAACTGTATGACAGAGAGATGCAGCATTCTGGTGGACCATGCAGAAAGATTCCTTTCTAGATGCCAAATCCTGCCATAATACTTGGCAAATATAAGAAAGAGTTGTAATTGCTTTACCATATGACAAACAGTCCATAGTGACAGGACCCATTACTCAAAATCAAGCACCAGTACATTAAKGGCTGTCTTGAAATACACAGAAAAACATCTCAACACAAAACAATATGGAATCAGCTTATGCAGAGATCACCACACATGTTCCAATTACATCTTTGGTTTACTCCAAAGAAAACCCTGAGACATTACACTTGCTGTGCAGGGATGCTCCAGACTGATCCGGCTGGMACAGTTCTTGTTATCCTTACCCGGGCACATCCAATACTGAATAAGAAGTTCAGATGRATTTACATTTCACAAGTCTTTCAGGAAGACCAAAGCCTTAGCATATTGCATGCTACAGTTACTAATGTAAGGAAACTTGCCTTCTGGATGAAATGACAATTTATACCAGTATCCAAATGGTAAGCCTTTATAATTCACTTTCAAAAAGAGTTGCACACAAATGAGTTAAAAAACCCTCAGTATTAAAACATCTAGAAGTAGAGGATAAATTGAATGTGACAAAAATCCAGAGCAGCTTTTAGGGAAAAGAATTCTAAGCTTTTCTAGACAGTGTTCTCCAATACTACCCAAGATACTAGGAAGACATATTAGTGCCTAGGTATGCTAGTCCATTCCTACAGACTAAAGCAAGGAAGCTAACAGAAGAAATTCTCAGAATTACAAAGCACATAGCAAACCACTGTATCCAGTCTATTTTCCATTTGCAAGGTTTCAAAATCTCCTGTCACGTACAGCATGAAATCTACTTTGCTCAGTTTGTWAGGGTTTCTGGAAAAATTAATGCCGAGGCAAAAAAAAAAACCTATTACCTCAGTTCATGGAGAGAG